TGTACAATACGCCTTTTCTCAAAAAAAAAAAAAAAAAAAAAAAAAAAAAGGAAAAAGGGGGACTGGGAAAAATCCAAGGATCTATTGAGCCTGTTCTTTCATTTAATGCATGTACTGCTACTGTGGTAAAGTTGTGCTTTTTGTTTGAAAAACAAAATAAAACTTCTCTAGTGCCAGGCAGGCCTATGAGGAGGACTAAAATTGACTTTACTTGGTTTGAAGAAATAGGGCAAACAGTATTGGGTCGAATTCCTTTGCAGACAGGCCGGAGTTAGAAGAGGGCATTCATTCTTCTAAGGAGAACCTCTATGGGCCATGAACTCAGTCCTGTAATCACGCACTCAAAATGACTATCTCCCTAGTCATTTTGTAGTCCTGAAGCCACAGGTGCCTTCTGCCATTGGTATAACATGTAACATGTCCTGCCTGTCTGTGGGTATGTGGGTCTGCACCTTCTCTATCACACCGGATCATGAACCTCTAAAAGGTTTGATCTTTTCTAGTACAGCTCTGTCGTCCACACAACACCTCACACAGTTCCAGGCATAGAGTGGGCTCTCCGGCATTGTGGATGTATGAAGGAATGAATGAAGAATGCTGTGGGCATGCTAGGTTTAGCAATTATATGAAGACATTGTGTGGATAAGACTCTGAACCTCAGAAGCACGATTAGCTGAACCAGTGATGAACGTGCCTATTGCCATTGTAAAAATATGGAAAACAGTGAAGGAAATTGGGAGTTTAGAGGGGGAAAATAACTGGTTGCAAAGTGATTGTTTTTCAGGGATTCTTTAGAATAATATACATTTACTCATAAAGAAAATTAGACTCACCTGCTGTATCCTTGGTCCAGTTTTCATCCTCATCAAAGTGAGTGTCACCACCCAGACCCAGACCAGGAGGAAAAGCATGGCCGAGGACTCCCAAAGGGCCGTCGAAATAACGAGGACACCGACCATGGACTGAAATACCATTTACAAGGGGAAATAAATTAGGCCCCTCAAGTCTCCTGAGATAAACATAAGCACATTTTTTTCTCTGTTATAAACCTTACCTCGAGTCCTGAAGGCAATCATGATGTCTGCAATCCCCTTGAAAATCTTGGTGAATGTGAGCGGAGTAACCTTACTCCATACTTCCAAAGCTTTTTGGATGGCCTCATCCACATCCGCTCTTGCCATATCTGGAGTGTAGTTCATTATTCTTGAAAATGAATAAAAATACGTCAATTTCTGCTTATTCATGCATTTATATACAGGTATACTAAGAAATTATTCCTATGTTATCAGTCATATGCTGCAGTTAGTTTTGGTTTAGTTACATTATTTTACATTTGCATATAAGTTTATTTTAATCAAATAATTTCGCATGTGCTCTGTAATTCAGTTCTTTTATCTTCCCTATGAATCAGGTAATATATAAACTGCAGAGACTCAAAAAGGTTAAATGACTCTTCTAAGATTATACCCTTAGTTTGACAGCGTTAAGCTCATATGTGTATTTCCCTGTATATGAACGGATTATGAATATATTTTAAAAAGAATCAGATTTATGTTCTTGAATGGCTTATAGAAATCAGTCACAGGCATGTGGATCTTACTCAAGGGCCAAAAGAGCTACTTAGATAAAGATATTTATATTCCTTGTTTTTCTAAACTCTTTCATCTCAGGTCCTAAGATGTAGTAAGATGAAGGAAGAATTAGCAGAAAGGCTCTATGGTGCTGGTCAAGGTCACTTCCTCTTTCTCAGATCAGGGTCACATTTTCTGCCAGTGAGCCAGCCAACCTATTCCTTGTGACGTCTGAGGGCAAACTTCATATTCTCCTCTGAGGCCCACTGAGGCCTGGAGCCTGACGCACACACATCTCTAACGCAAACTGCCTGTGCTCCAGCGTCCGTCCATTTCCTCCTGAACACACCGTCTCTGTATCTTCAAGTAACTGCAGTCAGATGGCAGTACTTCCTGTCCTGAGGTAACGGGAAGGTGGCAGAGGCTAGAAATGAGCACATAGCTGCCAGAGCCCGTCTCCTGGTGAGAGCTGTGTACACTTGGCTCTGGAAACTTCTGCTGAAGTTCTCTGTGTCGAAGGTGGCAGTAACAGCAGCGCCTGTACCCTAGGTTTGTCGGGAGGATGGAATAAATGACATCTGTGATGTACCATGCACATAAACAATGATTATCATTTTCCCGTGGAGATTATACTCATGTTTCATTGGATTAGGTGGCAATATTGACAGAAGAATTACCTGTATGTGAGGTTGTATTTTCTCCACCCAGGGAGAGTGTAGCCATACTGACCCACATCAGGCACCCCACACCTGGGTGTTTTCATGATCTCAAGAGTGTTTGAATCCAGCGTTCCAGTCACTGTCAATCCAAAAAACGCTTGCATTTCCCGAATTTTGCCGTCTAGGAGACTCCCGTTTTTGCTTTGAACGAGATGGCTCCCTTCTATTTCAAGAGAGTAGAACTGGTTGAGATACGCCTGACCGAAAAGACAAAAAAAGGCACAGACTACAGGAGAGCAAATCTGCATCTCACCATAAAACAAAATTGCCTGAAGTCTTTTTTTGGCAGCAGAGAAGAAGAAAATAAGTGATGAGGGAAAGAAAAGAGTGAGGGAGGAAAGAAGGAAGGAAGGATGCAAAGAAGAAACGAATCGCTCTGCTCTCTCAGTTTCCAAGAACTGGTTGATTCATGAGTGACTAGACTTGACCAAACAACACAGCCCATAAAACTAGAAAGCTCACACAGGAGAGAAGAAAGCTTCTCCCACCTGCGGAGTAATGATAACCTAGCTTCCATGTATTTGTCATTAAGCTTGGAGTTTTCTTGAAACAAGTTCTAGAGCAGACAGGTGATTATCCATTTTGCAGATTTCTTTGATTTAGCTAATTTTGACAAATTAACTGAACTGATTTTTAGAAGACTCCAAAACAATGTATTTTTCATACATACAGGAATATGAGGCTCCAAATTGTAGGTTGGGTCCTCCCAGTTGTCTTGAATGCTTTGAAGGAGATCTCCATTCTTTGTGGGCTGTTCCCTTTCTCCTCCCTCGCACTATCCACCCCTGCACTTGTGACCATTGCTCCTGCCTTCCCCCTACCCTGCCCCTACTGTCCACCCCTCGCACAGTTCCTGGAGGTCCTTCGAGTTAGACAGATGATAATTAGCTCCTTCTTATAAGAAGGTTTGGGACTCTTTTACAGGAACTTGCTGCCTGTTTAGGTCCTGAGAGAATAAAATAAACATTTTATGGATAGTCACTAAAACAGTCACTGAGACAGTACCTGAGCCAGCTGCATGTTTTCTTCATTTTCCATCTTTTGGTCTGCTGGAAGTGCAGAAGAAAAAGTTACAAAAAGCAAAAATAGAAGCAGGAAGCTCTTCATTCCTCTCTTTCTTCGGTGGAAGCTTGGTTCTGTGTGTACGGACTTTAGAAAATAATAGTGAGACGTGGCATGAATCGGCCCGTGCCATCATTTAATCAATAACAGAAAAAGACACTTGTGTGTCATACTTTGCTCTTTTTTTTTTCTCTTATACTGACTTGATTTCACAATCACGGTCTGCAATTGTTTAGTAAACACGGTCACTGTTCTTCATTGAATTAAATGTGTTATGAAGTGAGCCCTTCAAATTCCTTTTCTCCTTGCAAAGCTCAGCATTTTTCTATTTACAAATTCTTGAGAGTTTATGAAATAATTTTCTCTTGAAAGAAATTCCAAGATATCTTTGTAGCATGGTAACATAAGAAGACAATTGAATTAGGAATTAGATTGCCCAGATTAACTATTGTAAAAATCCAGTGTTTATCATACCTACTATTTGCCTGTCACTGTGAGTGCAATCTTGTTGGAGAATTCAGAGAGACACAGATCAGTGTAGAACGACCTGGGAGCAAGCAGCCACATGCACGATGCAGACCACGAGGATGAAGTGCCCAGAGGCAGACGTCACTGCTGATGGTGTAGCCTAGAGGCTTCATGCAGGCAACATAGCTTGCTCTGGGGCTCATACTGGGTTTTAAAGAATGGGTAGGACTTGGGGGCTGGCAGGTGGTGTGGTAGTTAAGGTGCTAGATTTCTTCATGGTTGACCACGGTTTGAGTCTTGGACCTGGAGGCTTGCTTTCTCACTACCCACCCCCGTCTCTCTCTGGTCAAATAAAAATAATAATAATAAATAAAGTTGAATAGATAATTCTTTTTTTTTTTTTTTTTTT